GTTATTTCCCGATCATGACAAGGAACATACGGCGAGTGTTACCGATCGGCGGCAAAGTATGCTCAATTTCTTGGTACACCAGTTCCTATCAGCCACTGGCAGGATATGCTCACTCCTCCATGGCACCTGATCCCACCTCTGATGTTTTGGAGGTCCGTGTTTGCTCTGTTCCTATTTTGTATTCTTTTATGGACTTTTGATCTTGAAAACTGTTCGTTATTTCCATATGTTTCATCCATATCTAATTAATTTAGATTCTTCTCTGTGTGATAAACAATAAAACTGTTTTTCTTATTCAGTAAAATGTAAACTGGTGTAATGGAAATGTAACTATTGCAATTCCAAATTTCAGTCAATTGTAATACATTACCCTTAGCATATCATTGAATTTAATAACTTATTTGAGACATGTTGTGTGATCTTGATTAAAGCTATCGATCTGTCTTGCAGCTAAAATGCATTAGAAAATGTTAAGATACTTTTCCATTTAGAAACTTAACTGCTAGCATGGGTCTGCCGTGTCAGATGTTTTACATAAATTAATGTAAGGATGTAAATTAAATATTTTTCAATTAAATTTTTACTAACCTTTACAGATATTGTCAAAGTCCAAAAAGTAATTGGCAACACACCTCTTTTGTGGGTACGTTTTTGATAACATTTCTTCAGTCTCTAACTTGCAAAACCCGAGAATCGCTAAGAAATAAATCCATTTGGAATCGCTAAAGCTCATGACAAATTGAAGAAAATGAAGACGAAAACTCTACATATGTATGCAACATAAATTTATGTAAACATGTCATGATAAGAAATTCCAACTATTTTTTAAATTTGATTACGTATACGGCAAAATTGATTCGTTTTTTTTAATTTGTAAGTTCAAAAACAGTTTTTTTTTGTTAAAAATAGGGAAAATATCTATTAGTGAAAAGTTGCTTTAAGGACATATCATTGTAGAGATATTTTCCTGTCTCCTCACATACGAGTCACTTTCATACAATTGGGTACGCGAAATAAAAATTATATATAATTAAACGGTCACAATTGTATATAAATAAAAATAAGTTAATTCATTATACAGAGTGACCAACTCTTATAATTATACTCCTTTTCCACTTAAAAAATCGCCAGGGACAAATGGGAGTCTTGCAATCCTTTAATATATTTCAATATTTTTTTAAATATTATACCGTTATCGTCTTTTTTCAAGTAAAATATCCAAATATGAAACATATGTGTCAGACTTTGTTGTATCTTTTATTTCAAGCTCACCAGGATATATTGTATCGACACAAGAATAAAAATTACCATTGTTAATTGACAGTACGTTATCGATATATATAAATGTCGAGTTGAAGATCTCAGCAAGTGTTTTCTTCTTCATCATAAGATTTTGCACAAATTCTGCTTCATATAAATACAAAAATAGGTCTGCTAATAACAGAGCGCAATGAGTACCCATGAGGATTCCAGTAGATTGTTGGAAGACTTGTTCTCCAAAAACCACATAGATATTGTCAATCAGCACCTTATTGATGCCGACTTCAGAGTACTTGTATGTGCAATCAGAATGTGTTATAACAAAATTTTGCAAATGACCAATGAAAAGCTAAGTAAATTTACGAGTTCGTTCTATCTTTATTGAAAAAACAGCTGTCAATGATATCAAAAAGCCTGCAGGCATGTTTACGAAGCTATCTTATGACTAAGAAATGTCTTAAGATATACTTACGACAATTCTTAAGACTAAGTGGGGTTTTCGAAAGTATCGTAACTTAAGAAAGTTCCTAAGATTTATCATAAAGTTACGACAGCTTTGGACATATCTTTAGTCTATCTTAAGTAGAAATAGCTGCGTCCATGTTGATGCTGGCTCGACGAAATCGGCGTATCAGACCTGAATGAGTATTTAAAGATGTAGGAAGAATTCGAAAGACTGATTACTAGTATGTCAGGACCGTTAACGACAGCTGGAAAAATTATATACCACTGTAATATATATATTTCGTTAAATAAAATGTTTGATATGACTATTAATTTTTGTTGATGTGTTGATCGAAACAAATGTAATACAGTTTGACTAATTAATTATATTCGCACTATTTCATTTAAAAGAGGTACATGTATTTATTTTGTAAGCCCCCCCCCCCTTCTTGAAGCCTCAACGCTATCTAAAAAAATCATGGATTTTTTTGTATTGTGTATATATCAGATGGTTTCTACATATGTTGAATTAATACACAGTTATAAATGTAAGTTATATTTACACATGACACGGACGTAGCATCGAGTTTGAAGGGGGGGGGGGTAGAAAAAGAATTCAACTACATAGAAAAAGAATCTAGATAACGTACATTTTAAAAAAAAATTGACAAGCGAAAAAGAACCCTGAAAATTTTGTAGCTCGAAAATCCACAGGGACCTGGCGTTACTTTATTTTTCTTTAAATAAAAAAAATATGACCCCTACCTAATTAGAATTTATTTTTAGGTAGGGGTATATTTTTTATTAAAAGAAAAATTAGTAATGTCAGGTGTCTGTGCGAAAATCTTATTTCGTGCTTTCGTGCTGGGGAGGAGGGGGGGGGCTCGGTTCCAACTTTAAGTGCCAAATTTACTCATACACTATTCCATAACCCTTATTTTACTATACAACACAAAAAGGGTGCAAGGGGCGATCTTTCATTGAACGTTTTCAATGGTACAGTGTAAATAGTATTTGGACCTCCCTTCCCCCATGTTGAATTACGTGTCTTTATGCATCTACTTTCCAAGAATACTCATGGGTTAGAATTCTTATGACATTCAGTGCCTCATGCAGATGCCAACATACATAGTAAGAATATGTAACCTGTTAACAGAATAAAATTTAATCTCACCTGAGAGAGTCGCGGAGTAAGGAGTTGATCAGTCTCAGTCGTGTTCGAATCCCACTATGGGACGTGGAGACCGGTCCTTCGGATGAGACCGTATGAACCAATGCCCGTGTCGCAGTTGATGGTGACACTTAAAAGATCCCTCACTGCTCAATGGCCCTAAGTGTGAAGAATAGGACAAAATATGTAGCTCTCCATCGGCAAGTGGTGGCGTCTCCATATGAATGATTTCAAGATTCTCGAGAGGGACGTTAAATAATATACAATCAATCAATACTAACTTATGAGAGAGAGAGAGAGAGAGAGAGAGAGAGAGAGAGAGAGAGAGAGAGAGAGAGAGAGAGAGAGAGTTTAAATGGGTTTTTCCAGGTGACCTCACAGATGTCGATACATGTACTGCCCTCTATGGCAGAGATTGGAGTATAACCAATTATTCTCACAATTTTTCTTGCGAATGATGTAGTCTTTGAGGGAGGGGGCTCCTCCAGTTTTGCCTACTTCCTTCCGATTTTCCCCTGCATCCCGTTTCACTTATGAAAATTGGCGCACTTTTCATCGTTCAAGAATTTTGAATGATCAATAGCACTCTATTTGATTTTAGATGTAACCAATATTACAATATATCTTTGATTTTAGATGATTAATAATTAAAAATATACAATTTATATCTATAAATTTAAAAATACCCCCCCCCCTCAAATTCTTCTTTTTTTATTTTCACTCTTTAGATATTTTCATTATGATGACATAACGTGTAGCATTACATATAGCAAAACATAACAACTCTCTGATCCCTGACAATGGTTAAAAGCTTGGAGTATTTCAATGTCAAAATGATTTAAGACGTCTTAGCTTAGGATAGTCATAAGATTGCTTTGAAAAACACCTTAAGATAATCTTACGATGATCCTAAGATTTTCTTAAGATACATCTTAGAAAATTTCTTATGAACAATCTTAGGAAAGTTTCGTAAACATGCCTGCTGGACTTTAATTTATCGTGAGGAATTGTTGATTTTGGTAAAATATTGTGATTTAAGATTGTCCAAAAGTTCTTTGGAATTATTTAGAATCTACATCTGCTGATTCACATCATCTTCTTGAATATATTGTTGCACAGTACCCTTGACGTTTCTCCTTCACTACTATTGATAGCTTAGTGAGGCGTAAAGAAAGAGGCTTGTTTGAACATTTACTGTAACCCGCAATGTGTCTATGGTTGTAAGGATTCTTATGAAGTTTCTTATCGTTAGACTCTTCAGTGGCCTCAGCTCACGTCTAAAGAAAAATTGATGTATAATACACGGTCATGCTTGTATATAAATTTAAAAATTAAATACATAGTCTTAATTTATTGTTCTTTAAATCTAAAAGAGATTTTTTTTACCTATAGGTACTGTAATAAATAAATAGGTAAATGTAATGAAAAACTAGAAAGTCTGCTATTGCAAACAGTAGCGTATGTCGCCCCGTACTGGACAAGACTTGCATTTTTTCAACACTAAAACAATACCCATTAAATAAGCTTGGACAACCATCAACACGTATCGGTCCTTTCTGTACTTTGATTTAAAAATCAAAGATAAGAATTATTTTCACTTTTCCCCTGTTTCCATGGCAACTATTGACAATTTGCAATTTTTAAATGCAAATTGCACAATTACAACTCATTAAATCAATAAAGTTTCATGACGAATATGTTCAGGGGACCAGTGAGAACATTCTTGGACAAAATTCGTCGCTTTTTGCAGGTTTTCAAGGCAACGGTAGCATTTTGAAACTAAATGACCAAACAACAAAACTACAACCAGTGACTGTCCTTTGAGGAAAGTTTCAGAAAGATTTTCCCAGCCATATCCGAGAAACAGCCCGGAGAACAAAAACATGCGTACAATCGCAAGAAGTCCGGGAGGATAATAAATAAAAAGTTTTTCTGTAGGTTTTTCTGCACTTTAAAACGATTAATTTATATCGATGCACTTTCTCCTGATTGCATAGATCAGGCATATTACACAAGGTTACAACATACTTGAAAATCGAAATGTCGGAAAAACTTAAAACTACTTCCGTATTCAATGAGCAATAAGCATTAAATAAAAATCTAGAAAAAATAACTACATAAAATATGGAGTTTTATATGAATTTATTTTCATTTCTGTTTAACTATAACTCATTAACAACATCTAGATATTCATTATTCTTCGATTCGTGAGATTTTGGATCATTGATTTCGTTGGGACATGACATGTCACCCTGTGCTAGAGTCCCTGTATCCTGATAAGACCGGTCAGACTTGTTTGAGGAGCTTCCACCATCTTGATCACTATTTAAAGAGTTAGAGTTATGTATCAAAGGTTCTATAACTTCTATATATGCATTCACTCGCCCACTTGACTCCGGTTCTAAATAATCTCCATTATTTCCGGTTGAAGTTGAATTTTCCTTGTCAATTTCATTATATGTTTGTTTTGTTTCCTTTTCTATTTTGGATCCTATTTGCAAATATTTGGGTCGCACTACATCGTCCATTATTCTGTTGTAACGATTATCTGGCAATTCTATCTGATTAGCCAACATTTCATCCATGTTTATTTCATGATATACTTCTATTTCATTACCTTCCTTATTTAATTCTAATATATTTTCCTTTTTTATATATTTTTTCTTTGAACGTGCGGAACATAATTTCTTAACAATTGCCAAAAGTATTATAAGAAAAAGAAAAGCTATTACTGCACCCATTAATATTACTACGATATTGTTATTTATCTCTTCCTTTATTGGTCCAGTCGGTATTAGGGTAGACTCTCTAACAGCTATCTCTATAGTTGATTCCGTTTTTGTCCATCCCGTTGTTGAAGTTGTACTCTCTAGTTTTGATGAAGGAACAGATGTAGAATGAAATATGTACGTTGAGGTTTGTACTGTTGTTCCTGGGTGTGAAGGGAAAAAAACATAGATGATTCAAATTAGTTTTGTCAAACAGTTCTTTCTTTTTTTATATAAAAAATCATATCTTATCATACTCTTAATTATTTTAGAAAGCAGATTGCTAAAGAAATTCTGTGATTACTATTACAGATAATTTAAATAAAATTTGTTATACCATTAGTTACACATCCCGATACTCTATCACAGTATTCGTCAGTTGCACATTTACACGGTTTCCCACATAGTTTTCCATATTGGCCGTAAGGACAAGGTTGATCGCAGTTGACACCAAAGAATCCAAGTTCACATGCTGAAAAATGTTATTCTCTTCTTAATCAGCATTTTAAAAATAAAAATTCTATGAACTGTAATTGACGTTTGTTGGAAATACATCTTGATGAATGCGACGCATTTTGACTGACAAGTTTTATGTCAATGAAGGTCATGTTCCTCTATTAAGTTTTACTAAGGAATAATTCATCTCTCTGATCAATTTATATGGCGCACGACAGGTGTTACCGGTCAAAAGGGATTGCTTACTCCTCTTAGGCACCTGACCCCACGTCTGACATTTCTTTTGATCTATATTTAAAGTCTTATTTACAATGGTATTGTTTAAAAGACAACTTTTAGATCGATCTCTATTCGTTATCCTCTCCTTTACCCTCTTACATTTAAGAATCATATTACATACAATAAGGTTATAAACAAATGATTAAACTTACGCAAACAATCGTTCTCCTTGTCGCTCCAATAATAATTAGCACAACATTCTTTCTCATCTAAACTAAAAATTAGTGATAAAATAAGATACAAACATCAACAGTAAGCCTCAACTTTGCAATGGACATTTATGCTGAAATACTAGATGAAACATACCTACCGCAATCTGCAGGGTTCATTATTTCCAGACGACATATAGTTTATATCAATTAAAAAACGTATACACTTTTTTGGTGTGAAAAAGAAATTCTGTGTTTATTTTTAACGCGGCAGATTAATTAAGTGGTTTTTATGCGTTATTAAATGTGTATCCGATAGAGTACAGTTCTGCTGAATTTGAAACTTGGCGTTTCCGCTTTTCTAAAACTCTTTTAACAATATTGCATACGTGGAAATAATATAATACAATTTTAAATCAGACTTTCTTATCTATCTAAACTTTGAATAAAGTGAATCCTAGTATGATTGTCTATTAAGCATATTTGAATATATGGTAAATGCATCTCAGGGCCGTTGAGCAGTGAGGGTTCTTTATCGTGCCAGCGCCTATCGTGACACGAGACCTACGTTTTTAAGGTCATATCCTAAAGACCCGTGACTTTCACCTCTAGTGCCGAGCGCTTGGCGAAGGAACAGTCACTACCTTTGTTAACGTCTTAGGTATGACGCGGCGCCGCGAAGGAGAATCGAACCCGGGCCTCCCGATCACGAAGCGAACGCTCTACCACTAGGCTACCGTGACCGGTTGATGATGATAAGAAAATATATTTTACGTACAGAAGTCTGTGATATTAGAGGTTTATTATAAAGGGTAATAGTAAATTACCAATACACAAAAAGAATTCAATTGAAACGTATTAATTAAAGATGAGAGAAAGTTTTCCAACTCTTTAATACTGGTCAGAGAAAGCTCTTATGGTAGGACGTTCTCTTTGGGATCAGGAGACCCATGCAGTTGGAATTCTTGTCCGACGTGACATGCCTAAACATAGTTATATATAA